TGAAAAGAAGGCACAGGATTGAGGACAGACTAAGAAGGAATTAGGGGGAGGAGGGAGGAGGGAGGAGTGGTGTGGAGGGGACACAGAGACCACGGGGAGAACAAGAGGTGACAGGCAGAGCCCACAGCAGAGCACAGCTGAAGCTGGGAGGGGTGTGAGGAGCACACAGATGGAAGGGAACCGGAGGCAAAGGGTCAGGGGGCCCTGGTGGACTGGGAGGGGGTGTGGAGGGCAAACTTGAGGGCAGAGGGCCCGCCTGGGGGAGAAGCTTCCAGAGAGGGTGGGTGGAAGGAGGTGAGAAGGAATGAAGGACAGGAACTCGGGTCCAGGAGGGAAGTCCAGGGAATAAACGGGACCAGAGTGCAAGACAAGGGTGGGAAGGGGGTCTGGTGGGGTGGACAGACAGACAGATGGACATGGATGCTGAGATGGGTGGGAGCAGAGGCCTGAGAGAACACAAAGGAGGACCTGGTTCAGGAGGTGTGAGCAGAGGAAGGTGGAAGGTAGTGGGAGGGAGGCGAGGGCCTGGAGGAGGCTGTGGTACCCCAGGGACAGATGCCAGACCAGGAACAGGGGAGAAAGAGATGGAGATGGGGCGACGCAGATAGAAGGCGCTTAGAGATCGGGTGGGAGGGAGGGAGAGAAATAATGAGACCGAGAAGGAATCAGAGAGAGAGAGATTCAGAGAGAGGAAGAAATAATGACACTGAGTGACAGAATCAGAGAGAAAGAGAAAAAAGAGACTGAGACGATATGAGGGAGGGAGAGAAAGAGAGAGATAATGAGACTGAGAGAGGGAGTCAGGTGGAGAGAGAGATGATGAAAGTGAGAGGGAGTCAGGGAGAGAGAGGAAGAAATAATGAGACTGAGAACATATGAGAGAGAGCGACAGAGAGAGAGAGAGAGAGAGAGAGATAATGAGACAGAAGATTTGAGAGAGAATGAGACAGAAGGTTTGAGAGAGAGAGAGAGAATGAGACAGAAGGCTTGAGAGAGAGAGAGAGATAATGAGACAAGGTTTGAGAGAGAGAGAGAGAGACAGATAATGAGACAAGGTTTGAGAGAGAGAGAGAGAGATAATGAGACATAAGGTTTGAGAGAGAGAGATAATGAGACATAAGGTTTGAGAGAGAGAGATAATGAGACATAAGGTTTGAGAGAGAGAGATAATGAGACAGAAGATTAGAGAGAGAGAGAGATAATGAGATAAGGTTTGAGAGAGAGAGAGAGTGATAATGAGACAAGGTTTGAGAGAGAGAGAGAGAGAGAGATAATGAGAAATAAGGTTTGAGAGAGAGAGTGATAATGAGACAAGGTTTGAGAGAGAGAGATAATGAGACAGAAGGTTTAAGAGAGAGAGAGAGATAATGAGACATAAGGTTTGAGAGAGAGAGAAATAATGAGACAGAAGGTGAGAGAGAGAGATAATGAGACAGAAGGTTTGAGAGAGAGAGAGAGAGAATGAGAGAGATGGTTAGAGAGAGATAATGAGAAGGTTTGAGAGAGAGAGAGAGAATGAGACAGAAGGTTTGAGAGAGAAATAATGAGACAGAAGGTTTGAGAGAGAGAGAGAGATAATGAGACAGAAGGTTTGAGAGAGAGATGATGAGACAGAAGGTTTGAGAGAGATAATAAGACATAAGGTTTGAGAGAGAGAGAGAGATAATGAGACAGAAGGTTTGAGAGAGAGATGATGAGACAGAAGGTTTGAGAGAGATGATGAGACAGAAGGTTTGAGAGAGAGATAATGAGACATAAGGTTTGAGAGAGAGAGAGAGAGTGATAATGAGACAAGGTTTGAGAGAGAGAGAGAGAGATAATGAGACATAAGGTTTGAGAGAGAGAGAGAGTGATAATGAGACAAGGTTTGAGAGAGAGAGAAATAATGAGACAGAAGGTGAGAGAGAGAGATAATGAGACAGAAGGTTTGAGAGGGAGAGAGAGAGAGAATGAGAGAGATGGTTAGAGAGAGATAATGAGAAGGTTTGAGAGAGAGAGAGAGAATGAGACAGAAGGCTTGAGAGAGAGAGATAATGAGACAGAAGGTTTGAGAGAGAGATAATGAGACAGAAGGTTTGAGAGAGAGATGATGAGATAGAAGGTTAGAGAGAGAGAGAGATAATGAGACAAGGTTTGAGAGAGAGAGATCATGAGACAGAAGGTTTGAGAGAGAGAGAGAGAGAGAGAGAATGAGACAGAAGGTTTGAGAGAGAGAGAGACAGAAGGTTAGAGAGAGAGAGAGATAATGAGATATAAGGTTTGAGAGAGAGAGAGAGATGAGACATAAGGTTTGAGAGAGAGAGAGAGAGATAATGAGACAGAAGGTTTGAGAGAGAGAGAGATGATGAGACAGGTTAGAGAGAGAGAGAATGAGACAGAAGTTTTGAGAGAGAGATAATGAGACAGAAGGTTTGAGAGAGAGAGAGATGATGAGACAGGTTAGAGAGAGAGAGAATGAGACAGAAGGTTTTAGAGAGAGATGATGAGACAGAAGGTTAGAGAGAGAGAGAATGAGACAGAAGGTTTGAGAGAGAGAGAGAGATAATGAGACAAGGTTTGAGAGATTGAGAGAGAGATAATGAGACATAAGTTCTGAGAGATATAATGAGACAGAAGGTTTGAGAGAGAGAGAGAGACAATGAGACATAAGGTTTGAGAGAGAGATTGATAATGAGACATAAGGTTTGAGAGAGAGAGAGAGAGATAATGAGACAGAAGGTTTGAGAGAGAGATGATGAGACAGAAGGTGTGAGAGAGAGAGAGAGACAATGAGACATAAGGTTTGAGAGAGAGATTGATAATGAGACATAAGTTCTGAGAGATATAATGAGACAGAAGGTTTGAGAGAGAGATTGATAATGAGACATAAGGTTTGAGAGAGAGAGAGATAATGAGACAGAAGGTTTGAGAGAGAGAGAGAGAGATAATGAGACAGAAGTTTTGAGAGAGAGATGATGAGACAGAAGGTGTGAGAGAGAGATGATGAGACAGAAGGTTTGAGAGAGAGATAATGAGACATAAGGTTTGAGAGAGAGATGATGAGACAGAAGGTTAGAGAGAGAGAGAATGAGACAGAAGGTTTGAGAGAGAGATGATGAGACAGAAGGTTTGAGAGAGAGATAATGAGACAGAAGGTTTGAGAGAGAGAGAGATGATGAGACAGAAGGTTAGAGAGAGAGAGAATGAGACAGAAGGTTTGAGAGAGAGAGAGAGATAATGAGACAAGGTTTGAGAGATTGAGAGAGATAATGAGACATAAGTTCTGAGAGATATAATGAGACAGAAGGTTTGAGAGAGAGAGAGAGACAATGAGACATAAGGTTTGAGAGAGAGAGAGATAATGAGACAGAAGGTTTGAGAGAGAGAGAGAGAGATAATGAGACAGAAGGTTTGAGAGAGAGATGATGAGACAGAAGGTGTGAGAGAGAGAGAGAGACAATGAGACATAAGGTTTGAGAGAGAGATTGATAATGAGACATAAGGTTTGAGAGAGAGAGAGATAATGAGACATAAGGTTTGAGAGAGAGAGAGAGATAATGAGACAAGGTTTGAGAGAGAGATTGATAATGAGACATAAGGTTTGAGAGAGAGAGAGAATGAGACAGAAGGTTTGAGAGAGAGAGAGAGAGATAATGAGACAGAAGGTTTGAGAGAGAGATAATGATACAGAAGGTTTGAGAGATTGAGAGAGAGATAATGAGACAAGGTTTGAGAGATTGAGAGAGATAATGAGACATAAGTTCTGAGAGATATAATGAGACAGAAGGTTTGAGAGAGAGAGAGAGAGATAATGAGACAGAAGGTTTGAGAGAGATGATGAGACAGAAGGTGTGAGAGAGAGAGAGAGACAATGAGACATAAGGTTTGAGAGAGAGATTGATAATGAGACATAAGGTTTGAGAGAGAGAGAGATAATGAGACAGCAGGTTTGAGAGAGAGAGAGAGACAATGAGTCATAAGGTTTGAGAGAGAGATTGATAATGAGACATAAGGTTTGAGAGAGAGAGAGAATGAGACAGAAGGTTTGAGAGAGAGAGAGAGAGATAATGAGACAGAAGGTTTGAGAGAGAGATAATGATACAGAAGGTTTGAGAGATTGAGAGAGAGATAATGAGACAAGGTTTGAGAGATTGAGAGAGATAATGAGACATAAGTTCTGAGAGATATAATGAGACAGAAGGTTTGAGAGAGAGAGAGATGATGAGACAGAAGGTTAGAGAGAGATAATGATACAGAAGGTTTGAGAGATTGAGAGAGAGATAATGAGACAAGGTTTGAGAGATTGAGAGAGATAATGAGACATAAGTTCTGAGAGATATAATGAGACAGAAGGTTTGAGAGAGAGATTGATAATGAGACATAAGGTTTGAGAGATTGAGAGAGAGAATGAGACCGAAGGTTTGAGAGAGAGAGAGAGAGATGAGACAGAAGGTTAGAGAGAGAGATAATGAGACAGAAGGTTTGAGAGATTGAGAGATTGATAATGAGACATAAGGTTTGAGAGATTGAGAGAGAGAATGAGACAGAAGGTTTGAGAGAGAGAGAAATAATGAGACAGGTTAGAGAGAGAGAGAGAGAAGTGATGAGCGTGGGAGGGTATCAGAGAGAGGTAATCAGAGAGAACGCACACACTAGCCATGGGGATGGAGTAGGAGGGGAAGGTGAGCGACAGAGGGACCGGACAGGAGTGCTGGACACGTTCTAGTCCCCACCTGCTCCCCCCGTGGAGGGACAGGCAGTCACTGAGGAGGTTTGGACCAGAGAAGGGCCGGCAGGCTCGGGGCACTGCCACCTCCCCGTTTCCGCCCTGGCACTCTGTGGACCCTCTCACTGTCTCCCCCAGCTCCCCCCCTCCCCGGTCCCCCCTGGCACTCTGTGGACCCTCTGTCTCCCGCAGCTCCCCCCCCCTCGTCCCCCCCTGGCACTCTGTGGGCCCTCTCACTGTCTCCCCCAGCCCCCCCCCCCCCGCACTCTGTGGGCCCTCTCACTGTCTCCCCCAGCTCCGGTTCCGCCGCCCCGTGGGCCTGGCTGGTATGCACAAGGGAGACGTCAAGCTGGAGCACCAATGTCTTCCTCGCCGCCCCTCCAGGGAACATGGACCCTTTCTCCAGTGGTGCCAGCTGGGGGCCCTGGGACAGCTGCACCCTGTGTGGGAAAACCCAGAGCTTCCCAGCTGAGAGGGAAGAGGAGAAAGAGGAAGCCGGCAAGGTGGAAGGGGTGGAGGAGCCGAGTTGAAGGAGAGGGGTCAGTGTGTCCCCGGAGCGGAAGGGGAAGGGGTAGGACAGCGTGAGGAGGGGTTCCCGTGCACAGGAAGAGCCTGGCACACCGTAAGTGCTCAAACGTGCCCCATCGCATCCTCGGGAGAGAAGAAACAAGTGAGAGGAGGCGAAGAAGTCGCCACAGAAGGAAAACGGAAACAGCCCGGAAGAGAGGGCTGCGGGTGCACATTCAGGCACACAGTAGGTGCTCCTCAAGTGGTTCTATCCCAGCACATGAGGAGCAGAAAGGGGTGGGGGTGGGGCTCCGGCAGAGAGACTGAAGGAGAAGCTGCGAGGGAAGGAATGTATGTAAGCAGAGGGCACACAGTAGGTGCTTATTAAATGCCCACCCCCTCCCTGGCAGGAGCAAGGGAAAGCAGCCAAGGCGAGGCCAGCGGAGGAAGGGAGAGGAAGGAGCCTGAGAGGCAGGCAGGGGAGCCGTACACCGCAGGGGCTCAGTACTGCTGTCCCCCGGGAGATTGCCTGCGGGGGGAGCGGGGAGGAGAGAGGAGCTGGGGAAAGTGTGCTGGGAGGCCCTGGGCACTGGAGGTGCTCAATAAGTGCACACGGTCCATGGAGGACAGACAAGAGGAAGGAGGCCCAGACAAAGGTGGGAGGAGGTGACAGGGCTGCCGGAGCAGAAGGGACCGGGCACCCCCGGAAGAGCCCAGAGTCCGGGAAGGAGGGTGCCTAGGGCCGACCATGGGGCGCACAGGGGGCGCTCATCAAATGCTGTGCTCTTCCCCAGAAGACAGAGGAGAGGAGGCGGGGTGCTCATCACCTGGAATACGGGGCGGGCCCCATACCTGCCTTCCTCCTGCAGGGAAGAGCGGGTGGAGGAGTCCGAGGAGTGGGGGGGCGGGGGGAGCGGAAGGAAATGGTCGGCACACAATAGCTGCTCAGTAAGCGCCTGTCCCCTTCCCTGGCGGAGGGAGGGCGGAGGGAGGTGCAGGGCGGCAGGGGTCGCCGGCCTGGAGACCGGAGGGCGGGGAGAGCGGTCGCTGGGCTAGCGCAGGTGCTCAGCGCGGGTTCCTGGCCTTGGAAGAGCACAGAGGCCAGAGGCCCGGAGGAGAGACAGGAGGAAGGGGGAGGAAGGGAGAGGGGATAACCTACCTGGCACACAGTAGGACGAGTCCACCCCCCCCCCCCCCGGGGGCAGAGAGGCAGGAAGGAGAGGGACTCGGAAGGAAGTGGGAGGAGAGGGGCCGTCAGCTCCCTGGCCGCAGTAGGTGCTCAGTGAACGCTCACTCCCCAGGAGCGCAGGGCAGGCCGGGGAGGGGGAGGGGCTGGAGAGCAGAAGGAGGGGGGCTGCAGAGGCAGCGTGTGGACATTGCCCGGCACTCGCCGGGAACCTGACGAATGCTCGTTTCCCCCAGGAAGGGAGCCCAAAGCACAGAGAACCAGCAGGGGCGCAGGAAGGGGCTGGGGAGAGAACGGCGCGGGGAGAGGCAAGGAGGCATTTCAGGTACGTGCAGCAGGTGCTCCGGAGGTGTGGGAGCAGGTGGGGACCCAGAAGGGAGGCCAGGGGAGGAGCGGGAGTCTGAGGGGGACTCCTGGTGGCTGCCCCCCACTCCCCGCCCGGGGCCCAGCCCATCCTCAGCTGCCCAGACTGGACGGGGGACAAGGGCTCATTGTTCTGGGTTGGCACAGCCTGGTAGGGGAGGGCGGCCCAGCCCTAGTCTGCTGTGTGTGGGGCTGGGTTGGGGCCGCCTGGTCTCTGCCTGATCTCTGTCTCTGTATCTCCCTGCCTCACTCTGTCTCCGCATCTCTGTCCTGCTGTCTCTCCCATCTCTGAGTCTGTGGCCCCGTCTCAGTCTCCGAGTTCCTGTCTCCCTGTCTCTGGGTCTCCCTCTGCATCTCTCCGCCTCTGTCCCCTGTTCTCAGTCTGTCTGTCGGCCTCTGTTTCTTTCTTGCTATTTCTGGGAGGGAGGGCCCCCAACCCAGCCCTGGCCCCAGTTCCTGCCCAGCCACCCACCGGGGTCAGGGTGGGCACCGAGCTCAGAGGCAGGAGTGAGGAAGGGAAGAAGGAGGCAGAGGAGCGAGAGAGGTGAGGACAGAAACAGCTTTATTGAACAGAAACCACAGCAGAGGCCCGGCTGGGGCCTCCATCGGAGAGCTGGAGAGGGGGTCAGGGAGAGAGAGACAAAGTCAGGAAGAGAGACACAGAGAGAGATAGAGAGACAGGCAGGGAGAGACACACAGCCCGGGAGAAGGGGAGAGATGGGCCGAGGAAGAGGCAGATGGGGGAGATGGGGAGCCGGGTCAGAGAGCAGGGGAGGGAGAATGGAGAGACACGCAGAGAGGCAGGCGAAAGGTGGAGAGTGACGTGGGAAGCCGAGATAAGGGATGATGGGGGGAGAGACGGAAAGGACAGACGGAGGGATTCGGACATGGTAGGGGAGAGAAACGGAGAGCCGAGGGACAGAGGGAAGAGCGTGGACAGACAGAGGGAGAGACAGAGCAGAGCCACGGGAGCCGCTGTCGGGAAGGACGGGCCCCTCTCACCTGGCGTTGTCGTCGGCAGACCCATGGGCCGGACCTGGGCATTTAAGGGGCTCCCAGGGGTGGGGCTGCCCTCTGCACCACCTTATCTGGTCAGCCCTGGGCTCCACCAGCTAAATTGGGCTTCAGCTGTCAGCACCACAGGGCACGGGACAGCTGACACCCGCCCCTGCACCTGCCCTGGCAGGCGGGGCCTCTCCTCCCCACCCTCCTGCGGCCCTAGCGGGTGCGGAGAGCCCCTGCCGTCTGTGCAAGGTGCCCTGGAGCCCCCACCGGCCCTGGGACCAGCCTGGCTGGGCACCCTGGCATTGCTCCCGCGTGATGTGGGGGCCCCAGCAGGTGGGGGCAGTCTGTGTACCAGTGCCCAGTAGGAGTTAGTGAATGAGGGGGGCTGGCACCAGCTTGGACCCTGCCCTTGGCCACCCCTCCCTGACCCCCCTCTCCTCCCAGGCTCCTCACTCAGACCATATTAGGCCACAGCTGCAAAGGCACCTGGGGAGGTCACTCAGGGCCCAGAATAGGAACACTTAGGGCGTCTGCGCCAGGCTGTCTGGGACCGGGTAGGACAGGCGACAGGCAGAGAGGGAGGAGGGGGCCCCAGAGGGCCCAGGGAGACAGACACAGAGGGACGGGCTGAGAGATAGACGGAGAAACATCCAGAAAGACAGACCAAGAGAGGGACAGGAGGGGAACAGGTGAAGAGACCCAGACTGGGGAGAGCTGCTGGGCAGGAGAGGGAGGGAGACCCCGAAGGAAGCCTCTGGGCAGGGTGGGCCGGGGGCTGCCCCAGAGTTGGGGTATCTGGGACCCCAGCCGTTTTCTGCATGCGCTGTTGGTCTTCTCACTGGAGAAGTTACACTTTGACCCTGGAAGTCGTGGGAACTAGACCCAAAGCCCCAGTCCCCACTTCATGGCCAACTTACGAGTCTGCACCCTGCCTGCTTTGGGGTGTCAGGGCTCAGCTCCTGGGATGAACTATTTCGGTGAACCCGGCCTAAGGCTGAATGGGGGAGACACACCCTAAGCTGGGGCCCCGCCTGCCTCTCCCAGCCCCTGACCTCCCTGTGCCTCTGCTCCCCCATTTCTGCCCAGTCCTAATGAGGGACCTCACTTTTGCCCTGGCCCTTCTCTGTCCGCCCCCCTGTCTGGGCTCACACACAGCCGTGCCTCCCAGGACAGGCCCTGGACCCTGGAGCCATCTCCCTAGTCCCTTCCCACAGTGTCGCCCAGCCTGTCACATCACTTATATTCCCCTGAGAACAACGTGTCCCCCAGCCCATTGCTCTTCCCCCATGTTCCAAGGACAGACCTCTGGGGGCCTTCTTTACTCCCTCTCTCCCTCACCCAAGAGTCTGCCAGGCCCAGATCTGTCCTCTGTCACCTGTCTGTTCCCGGGGTCCTGGCTCAGGCCCTGTCCTCTCCCAGCTGGACCCTCAGCCTCCTCCAGGGCCTTCTGGCCTTTGATCTGCCCATCAGCCCCAGAGGGGTCTTTCTGCGCCCAGGCCTGGCCTGTACCCCTGCTCACAGCACCCCCCCCCTCCCCAGCCTGCCCCCCGAGGCCCCGGGTCTGGGCCTGGCCAGGATCCACCCTCATCTCAGCACCTCAGATAACTACAGGGCTGACTGCCCAGTTCTGAAAGCCCCTCCCCACGGGCCCTCTGGAGACCGGCCTCTGCCTTCTATAGCTGGCTGCTAGGTAGTTATCTGGAGGACGGGATCTTCCTGTCCCTTCCTGTCCCTCTGCGTTTTCCTCCTCACCCAAGAACTGGGGTGGGCAAGCGCCGGAGGTACAGGCCAGACCCAGACTGAAAAGCAGACAGAACAAGGAAGTTGCAGGAAGGACGCAGAACAGGAAGGGGTCTGGCCTGGTGGGAATGTGGAGAAGACACCTAAGGGGAGCCCGTCCTGGCCTCCCTGTTCAGAACCACGGCTGCCCTGGGCACCCTCTCTCCCATTGGTCACCTCTCCACCCTCCCCTCCGGCCCTGCCTCCCTCCACACCAGGCACATGCCTGCCCCAGGACCTTTGCTCTGGTTCTCTGTGCTGGGAATGCTTTCCTCCACACCTGTCCACAACCCCCCCCTGCCCTTCCTGGAGTCTGCACTCAATGACACCTCGGCGAGGCCCAGTCCTACAGGAATGCTAACAACGCTGTATTCGCCTGTGGAGACCGCTCCAGCTAACAAAGCACGCTTAAAGCAACACACATCCCTTTAACACTGCAATCAGAAGTCCAAAATGAGGCTCATGGGGCCAGTCAGTGTGGGCCGGGTGGTCTTTGGGGGCCCTAGGGAGAGGCTGCTTCCTTGCCTTTCTGGCCCTCACTTCCTGGCTCGTGGCCCCTTCTGTCTTCGGAGCTGCCGTGTCGTATCTCGGACGCTGCTTCCTTCCTCAGACTCCTCTCCTGCCTCCCTCTCCACTCTTCAGACCCGTGGATTCTCCAGACTGCAGGAGCCTCTCCCTGTCTCCAGGGCAGCTCCAAGCTGCCTTGATTCCCCCCTCTGCTGATTCACCTTTGCCATGTGACGGAACATATTCCATTTCTGGGGATTAGGATGGGCCATCTTTTGGGGCCATTACTGCAATCGATGGAATAGAATTGAGAGTCAATAAATAAATCCTTGCCCGGCCAGTGTGGCTCAGTTGGTTGAGTGTCGCCCCATGCACCAAGAAGTTACCAGTTTGATTCCCGGTCAGGACACATGCCCAGGTTGTGGGCTCAACCCCCCAGTAGGAGGCATGCAGGAGGCGGCCAATTGATGTTTCTCCCTCCCTTTCCCTTCCTCTCTAAAAAAAAAAAAAAATCGCCCTGGCCAGTTTGGCTCAGCGGTTAGAGCGTCGGCCTGCGGTCCGGAGAGACCCGGGTTCGGTTCCCGCTAAGGGCACGTACTTCGGTTGCAGTTTGTCCCCGGCCCTAGTTGGTCGTGCGGGTGGCAGCCACTCGATGTGTCCCTTTCACGTCGATGTTTCTCTCACTCTCTCCCTTCCTCTCTCTCCCTCCCACTCTATCTGTACAAAAAATGGAAAAATATCCTCGGGTGAGGATTAAAAAAAATAAATAAAAATTAAAAAATTAAAAAAAAAATCAATAAAAACATATTTAAAAAAAAGAAATACACCCTTGCTTTCTCCCTGGCACTTACTTATCCCACCTAACAATCCAGATGGCACCTACATGTTGGCTCCTGGTCTCCCACCCACGTCAGCAGCTGGAACGTGGCCTCACAAGGGCTGGGAGGAAACTGAGGCCCAGGGGCTGTGACTCAGGAGGTCACAGAGCTGGGAGGCAGCACTGGGGTCCCTGGCGTGGCCCATCTGGGTGACCAGCTCGTTGATATACGGGAGTAACTGGAGGAAAGGGGCCCAACTCAGACGCCGGCCAGGCTGGGAAAAAAATCAGATTTATTGAGGCAGTAGCGGCATTGGGAGCGAGGATGGAGTTGGGGCTTCCGCAGGCCCCATGAAGTGAGGTCTGGTCCTTCCCTGCGCAGCAGCTGGGCGTGGACTGGACTGGCAGGGACGGGCGGGGTGGCAGCCGTGGGTCCCTCCTCCACGGGCTCAGTCTGTCCGCAGCCAGCTGCCCTTTTCTTCTACCTCTCTGGTCACCACCAGCAGCACCTGGCACAGGCCCTGAGCCAGGGCAGCCGCCAGGAAGGCCCTAGGCGGAGAAGCGGGGAGACTGAGGCTCAGGGGGCCCGGGCATTGCTTCTCGGGGTAAAGGGCCGAGTCATCTCCCCCTCACCTGACGCCATCCTCGTCCCCCAGGGCCTCGGGCACCCGGAGCTTGGAGTCCAGGTTGTAGTAGACACCGTCCACCTGGCGCAGGGCCACCCAGTGCCGCCGGCGCAGTGGCAGGGACAGCAGCCCCAGCGACACCGGTGAGGGCAGGTTCAGGATCAGCCCCAGCACCTGGGGCAGGGCCAGCTGGGACAGGGGCCTGCATGGGTGGGGCAGGAACACAGTGGTCAGGGCTCCACGTCACTGATGTGTGCGGCCCAGGCTGGTGTAGCAGCAGTGGCCGCCCAAGCCGCCCATGCACTCTCCTCCATCAGCCCCCCTTTGTTTCCTTCCACTCACTTGTTCTCCCCCCACCCAACCCGACTCATTCTTTGCCCATCCCCCATCCATCGATCCGTTACCCACCCACTATCCATCCACCACCCATCCACACACTAAAAGCCCCCAGTCAGCCACCTAGCTTCCCATCTACTGTTCATCCCACCACCACCCACCCATCGGAGCCCCGACCACAATCCACCCAACTCCACCACCACCCACCCAACTCTCCTTCCATTCCTCACACATCTACCATGGATCTACCCGTTATCCCCCCATCTTCCACCACCTATCCACCCATCCAAAGCTCCCAGCCATTTAACGACCATCCAACTGCCCATCACCCCAAACAGCATTCACCCATTGATACAATCAACTACCAGCCAGCCAACTCCTCATCCTACCCACAGACGTACCCACCATTCACCAAACTCCTCATCTACTCTACCCATCCACCATCCATCCACCCAACCACCTCTCTGCTGCCCACTGCCTATCACTCAACCACTCACTCACCCATCCATTCATACAGCCCATCACCTAGTCACCACCTACTCAACACCTCGAACCACCCATTCGCCATCCGATTAGTTACCCAGTTACCATGAAATTACCCATCAACATCCATCAACCGTCTAGTCATCCCGTGCATCCTTCTAACACCTCCGACCCATCAGTCTGCCACCCAACATCCACCGTGCAAACTTTCCACCCATCCACCCCTCCCTCCCTCCGATCCACTCCTCCCCCTCCTCCCCACTCTGTCCCACACTCATCATGCCACACCCACTGTGCGGAGCCCAGCACCCATGACACAGTGCTTTGGGTCCCACCTTCTTCCGTCCCACCACACAGCAGCCAGGCCCAGCCCCTGCAGGGCGGCCATGATCACGTTGACGTCATAGTTGCCAGTGCCCAGGAGGCTGCGATGGGGGTTCAGCCGGGAGTCTGGAGCCAACCTGGTTGGGGGGTGGTCAGAGCCTGAGCTGGGGCACCTAGAAAGGCCTCACCCTCCCTACAAAGCATGAGAGTCGCGGGGTCTGTGAATCACCCAGACTTTGAACTCTTCCTTCTCTCTCTTCAACCCCCATGGCTCATCAGCTCCAGGCCCTATTCCTCCTGTCCCCCAAACACATCTTCTTGCTCAGGCCTTGTTTTCCTCCACCCGGACCCTCACCCAGCCTCCAGTCTCTCCTCCCACAGGGCCCAGGGGCTCTTTCCACACCTGGCGCCACACCTGACCTTGCTCTTCCCTGGCGCCCTGTCAGCTGGCCTTCAAGGTCCCACATATTCAGGTCCCTGTGGCCCCCTAGCCTCAGTCCCCTCCATGCCTTCCCAGCCACCTGTCCCCAGCCTTTCCTCCAGCTGTCCCCTGGGGGGGTTCCTCAGCCACCACTTGTCTCTCTGGGCCCCGCCGCCTCTGAACAACAGTACCTTTGTTCTCTCTCTGGGCCCTTGGTGGGCAGGGCATGGGACAAGTCAGAGGGGAAGATTTGTGTATCATTTTTCTGTGTGTCTGTTCCTGGGCCCCCTCAGGGCAGGGCTCATATTGGACTCTGGGCCTTCAGCATGGCCTTGGTGTGAAATAGTTGATCACTCCCTGAATGACACAGGAGAACAGTCAGTTCTCTAATCATCAGTCTGAGGGGCTGAGACTCAGCCTGAGGATGCTGGGGGCGGGGTGGGGCACGGGAGGGCTGGGAGCAAGGGATCACAAGGTCACCTCTGAGGAGAGGATCATGTGGGGACCTGAGTGGAGGCCAAGGGGAGGGGCCAGGGATGTGTGTGTGTGTGTGTGTGTGTGTGTGGGGTGGGGTGGGCAGATTAAGACAGAGAGAGAATGAAGTGTTTGAAATCTTGAATAGTGAGCAGGAACATTCCAGGCTGCCAAGAGGAGGAAGCCATGCCAGGCAGAAAGAACCGAAGGCCCAGAAACATCACAGTGGGGCTCCTTCACCCCTGGAGAGGAATGCAGTGTTTGGAGAGCAGCGAGATACAGAGTTGCAGAGGCAGCTGGGGAGCAGAGCACGCAGGGCCTTGGATAGCAGGCTTCCAGCCCTGGGACTTCTCCGGGGGGCTGGGGAGCTGTGTGTGGCTGTGATTAGGGGAGGAGCAGCGGCAGCACTGGAGTGTTGTGTGGAATAGGTGAAAACCCGGCAGCTGGGAGGTGAGAGGGGCATGGGGACCAGGGCCCAGAGAAGAGAGGGTGAGGTCCAAGTCGGGGTGAGGTCCTGGGGATGGACAGGTGCAGGAGTCCCAGGGGCCAGCCCAGGCGGGCAGGGGGGCAGCAGAAAGCCCCCAGGCTCTGCGCCTGCCTTGCTAAGACCCGCTGCGTGGTTTCTCTACTGTGAGCCCTGCTTCTCCAGGGCCTCGGGTGGGTGCGGTCACCTCTTGCAGATCTCATCGGCAGCCTCCTGGCTAAAGAGCTGCTGCTGCAGGACGTTGTTGAGGGCGTGGATGGCGCACAGCTCCAGGCGCTGCCGCTCGTGGTACACAGAGGGTGGGCTTGGCTGTGCTCCCGGGCCCTGGGACATGCCGCCCTCTGCTCCTGCTCGGGGGGCACGGGAGAAGGTGCTCAGGGGACCAGGATCTGGAGACCCAAACTGCCAGCAGGCGATGGGGGCACCATGATTGAGGCAGGGACTAGGTGCAGCCTGAGGGGACACTGGGCCCCTAATCCTGCGCTTGGGTCGCTCTCCAGGCAATAGGGTACCTCCATCCCCCATTCCTAGGAAAAAGGCTCCCTTTTCTGCTCACCTAGAAACAGAGGACCACCCCCACCACATCCCTCAGTGAGAGGGTCCTATGTTGGTCACCTAGCAACAGAGGAAACCCCCCTCCTGTCCGTAGGTAACAGGCTCCCTCTCTGGTTACCTAGCAACAGAGAACCCCCTCCCATTCCCACCCCACTAAGTAACAAGTCTCTCCTCTGGTTACTTAGCAACAGAGAAATCCTCCTCCTCTGTTTCTAGGTAACAGGGTCTCTCGTGGTCGCCTAGCAACAGGCGACTCCCTTACCCTGTCACTAAACAACAGGGTTTTCTCTTCTTGTCACCTGGCAACAGGACCCCCTCCCCGGGCACCAAGTAACAGCCCTTTCCCCAACCCGTACCCCAACCGCGGCGTTTGCCCGTTGCCAAGCTACGCCCCTCACCCCGCCTGCGTCTCTGCTCCCCGGAACCAGGGGCTCCCGCATCCCCCTGGGCGGCGGCTCCGGGCTCCGAGTGCCGGGCAGGAAGCACGGCGCTGACTGGGCAGGCGGCACAGACTACAGCTCCCGGCGCCCTCCGCGTGCCGGACTACGACTCCCGGCGGCCCCCGCGAGGGCGCTCGCTCCGCACGGAACGTCTGGGCAGCGTGGCCCGGAAGTGCGCTGTTGCTCCGAGAGCGCGGCGGGGCCCCTTCCGTCGCTCTCTATGGTGAACCTCTGTGGGGTGCCCTACCGAGGCCCTCGCCGGCGCTCCCCCCGACTTCCCCTGCTGCTCAGAGGATTCTGGGAAATGTCGTGGGTAGGCTCTCGCGATAGCTTCCACGAGTTTTGCTCCCCGCTGTGCCCGCCCCCTGGTGTGGCGTGACGCAAGTGGCAGGCGTCGCGTGACGTCACAGAAGTAACCAGGGAGCCGAGGCGCCAGGCTGTGCAGTGAGAAGAGACTCCCACTCTTTACTGAGACAGGAGGGAGTCCGGGGAAACTGAGGCCAGGACAGCAGCAGCCCGATGGCGGTGGTGGTGGGGAGGTAAATGAGCCGAGGATGTCCTCGCGGGGTGGAGGGCACCTTCAGCAGAGATGGATTCCAGGCCTGGAAGGGAGCTGGCAGCACCCTGTGGAGGAGATACGGGGAATGAAAGGCTGAGACAGAGAAATGAGAGACAGACACCTGGAGGGGGGAACAGGCCAAGGTGGGGTGGCGGAAGGCCTAGAGAGAGGTACTGAGACCCAGAGGGGGCAGCGACCCAGAGAGAGGGACAGACCTGGAGAGTGGCCAGAGAGAGAGAGAGAGAGAAAGATTCAAAGTCATGGCGTAGACGGTTAAGGAGACTCAGAAGTAAAGATCAGCCAACAGAGACAAAATCAGAACTGCAGAACCAGAGTCTGGGACCCAAGCTCCGTAGAGCACAGCGCCCATGGCTTGGGGACCGTGGCCACTCACACTGGGGAGGGGCCTGGCCATACCCAGGAGGCTGCGCCAGAAGGCGGTCACAGTGGCAGAGCCGGTGACAGCGCCTGGCTCGGCGGGGTTCTCTCTGTGGGTGTGCACAGCAAAGCTCCGTCCTGTGGGGCCTGGGGGCCCGCTCAGTTCCACATCGACCACGTGCATGTCCGTGAGGCTGGGGCAAGCAGGGTGGTCAGTCTGGCTGCCCTGGCCCCAGCCCAGCCCCCTGCTCAGCCTAGCTCACCTGAGATCCGCCACAAGCACCCCGATCACGCGGTCGAAGCCCAGGCTGGGAGCCGCCAGGGCAGCAGCTGCCATGGTGTTGGAGTTGCGGGGAGCAAAGGGGCAGAGCCCACGGACAGGGCCTTCATAGAGCACGGTGCGAGGCCCAGTGCTGTGCACTGCAGCCAGGGGTCCCTCAAGCCGGAAGCCATCAGGATGTGTGGCCATAGTGACACGGAGGCTCTGGAAGTGAGAGCCAGGGTCAGGGGGACCAGGGGTCTCTGCAGGGTCCCTCTAGTTCAGCGGTTCTCAACCTTCCTAATGCCCCGACCCTTTAATACAATTCCTCATGTGGGCGTATCTGCATGTGGAAGACCCCCCTGGAGACGGATAGAGAAGCGGTGTCTGGGTTCCTAAGAACATCGGAAATACGTGTTTTCCGATGGTCTTAGGCGAGCCCTGTGAAAGGGCCTTTCGACCCCCAAAGGGGTCACGACCCACAGGTTGAGAACCGCTGCTCTAGTTCCTGGGGAGCCCAACAGGTCCTCACCTGGAGGCCCCCAGCTGAGTCCAATCTGCTGATGTCCTCAGTGCCCCACAAGGCTCCCCGGGCCACGAATACAGCGTGGTTCCAGCGGTTTGAGGCTTCCAGGAGCTGCTGCTCTGTGGCCTGGTCAGCCAGAGCTGAGGGAGACCCCACCTAGGGTGGGTCAAGGTGGGAGGGGCAGAGGTCAGGGGACTGATCTAACTTTGGGGTGGGTGGGGAGGGGCCAAGGATGAAGGGGCACGGCTCACCAGGAGATTGGCATGGCGCAGGATCTGTGCCCCAGATTCCTGGATTATTTTGGGATGGGCCACTTCTACCACAAGGTCAGGGTGCCTGGGAGAAGGGAGAGATGGGGAGGGCCTTGGAGAGGTATTAGACTTCCCCTCCCCAGATTTCCTTCATCTATAGAGGCTTGTCACTCTTCAGGATGGTTGGGCTTGTCCCATTTAATATTTGGGTGAACCAAGGCCCAGAGTGGGTAAGGGACTTGCCGGAGATCACACAGCAGCTAAGGGAGGCCAGAACAGGAGCTTCATTCAAGGAGACCTGCTCTCTCGTGTCAAGGTCACTGACCTTTCCCCAAGGTCAGCGAGGTTCTGCAGCTGCAGGGAGTGGGGCACTTTCTCTGCCATTCGTCCTGGGTCTCGATTCCAGACAAAAACAAGTTCTAGGCCCAGTTCCGGTCCCTGAGTCAGCAGGTGGGAGACCAGGGACTGTCCTGGGAAGAGGGAAAGAGACTCAGAGAATAGGGAACAGAGACCTAGAGAGGGGCCGGAGCCCGAGGTGGGGAGTGGAGGCTGCACAGGCAGACACACACAGCTAGGGCGCAGGTAGACATGGACGAAAGTGTGTGTGTAGCGGACACGGGCTTTTGGGGTTTCAGGAAGGGGCCTAGAGAAGAGGCCCCAGAAGGTCAGGGACTCACCGAGACGGCCGTAGCCCACCACCCCCACCCTCCGAGGGACCCTGTCGAGAGCCATGTTGTCCTTGAATCTGGTGGCCTGCGGTCTGAGCTCCGTCACCTGCTGGCTGCCTGCCCCCCCAACACACAGCAGGCCTGGGCAGCAGCTGATCTTTGGACATTTGACCCTTGAGCCTCTCCCAAGCCTTGCCCCTTCCCTGCAGCAGCCCAGTGGTGAGGGTGCCAGTTTGCTGGGGGTGGAGAATCCTGGGGGCTGTGCACATGATGATTTGGGGTTCCAGGGCCCCTGTGTGGCCCCCACTGTATGGGCCAGTTCCTTTCCTGCATCATACCTTCCTTCCTTCCTGCTGATGTGGAAAATTTCCTCTGCAATCCCCGCCCCCTTTTCTGGCCAGCCAGGTTGTCATGGAAACTGCATCTTGCTTGGGGTGGGGGTTGAGGGTTGGGAGCTTGGAGAAGAGATGGTGACGGACTCTGGGCTCTCAGTCTGTCCCCTTGCTCCTGCGTTTCCAATCCCCACCCTTGAGGCCACTCCCCCACGCCTTGGCACTGTATTTCTTGTCAACATTCCTCCCTTTGGGTCTTTGTGTCTGTCTCTGACCCCTCTGCTGCTCCATCTCTGTCTTGGCCTCCCTAGACCTCCATCTTTCCAACCCCCACCCCCATCCCGTCTGGGCTGGCTGCCATTCTGTCCCCAGCCAGGCCAGGCCCTCATCTCCTCACCAAAAGGTCTGAAGGAGGCCTGGCCTGGCCATTGCCCGTCTCCCTACACGGCAGCAGGAGCCGGAGTTTGGCTACAGCCAGCTCCTGTCCAGGACTTCCCTCGGTTCACCTTGACGTCTCACCTTTCATCCTCATCTTCCTCAGCCATCATGCCACAAGCACCCTTCCCCATGTTGCAGTCTCACTCTAGATGCCCCCCCCCCCCGTCCTATGGGTCAAGGAGAAGCCTGTGAAGCCTGTGACACTGAATAGCCCCCAAAGGAGCCCCAGCCAGTGTGCCTCATGGGTGCCTGGCATCGAAAAAGGCAGAGGCTGCAGCAGTGCCGGCTCCCTGCCCCCAGCCGCCACCTGGTACCCGCTGCAGCATTGCCATGGCAACCAGGATGGCTCTGAAAGAGGACGAGGGAGAAAGAGAGCATGAAAGAGGGAGCGAGGGGGAGCCCCAAGTTGACAGGCGCAGAGGACAGATAGAGCCTGAGATTCCAACCATGGCGGCTGCTGCCTCTGCCGACGAGGGAAGCATTTGCTTTTAAGAGCTGCAGGTGGGGAAGAGATAAGATGCTGTGGGGTAGAAATAGGGCCCTGGGTGGGGACATTAGGGCTTCCTGTGCACCCCCATCCTGTCCTCCATCGGCCTCTGCCCGTCTAGAGAGCACAGATGCCAGCCCTGGGGGCTGAAACACCAGCCCCTTGGCTTCCCGGGCCCCACCAATAGCTCCCCACTGACCCTGCCCACCCCTGGGTTTGCTCCCACTCGCTGGCTCCTGTCCCTCAGGGCTCTGCATGTGGCCCTGCCCTGAGCTACAGCGTAGCCCCTCCCTCTTCCGGGGCTGGACCCCATCCCTCCTGCCTCTGTGTATACCGGACAAAGTAGGGCTGGCTCCTTCCTGCCCCACAGGCCCAGCTGCCGCTGGAGCACCTCTTGCCCCACAGCACTCCCCCCCTCCCCCCTCCACGGTGACCTGCTTTCTCGGGGGCAGTGTGTTGAACAGGTTTGCAGCGTTATCCGACACTCTCTGGTTGGGCTCTGTTCAGGGTTGAATTGTGTCCCCCAGTGAGACATGTTGGAGTGCTGACCAGGACCTGGGAGTGTGACCTTACGTGGATATGGTCTTTGCAGATGGTCAAGCGATGCTGGAGGAGGAAGGGCACTCAAACAGTGCGACCCATGTCCTTGGGACAGGGACAGACATGCTCAGAGGGAAGATGATGTGGAGACGCAGGGAGAATGCCACCAGCCAAGGACTATCTCAGGTGACCAGAAGCTGGAAGAGGCAGGAAGCCGCCTCCTCTACAGGTTTCAGAGGGGCGCCAGCCAGGCCCTGCCCACCCCTGACCTCTGGGATTCTGACCTGAGACACCACATCCACTGTTCTGGGCCACCCAATTTTATGACTTTGCTATGGCAGCCCCAGGAAACTGATATGGGCCCCACTGAGAAGTGGGGGTGGGGAGAGGACCCCAGGACCTGCTTCACGAGGGCTGCAAGGAGATTAAATACTTGTGTCAGGTGACCGGGCCCCTCCTGGGGTCTCCGAGGTCAAGGGTGAGGGGTCTCCACACCTGAAGGGGCCAGTACCCCGCAGGACCTGTGACAGCCTCGCATTTTGCTCCCCATCCACATTCACTTCGTTTTCTCTCTCTTTCATGCTTTCATGACCCAAAAAATATTTTTTTTACTTTTTCCGTGTTTTTTTTTTTAAAGTAATTACAGAGCAGGTAGTCGTTGCCGCAAACCTCCCTTCAGTATCAAAAGAGTCTGTGGGTCGGATGAGGGGTGAGGGCTGGGGCGTCGGCAGGGGCCGACTGAGGCTGCCCCACCCCCAGCGAAGGGGCCCAGGGGACGGGGTGGGCTCGGGAGGGGGCAGGGCCAGGGTTTCTGGAGGCGCTGACGACCACGTGTCTGTCTCTTCAGTTTCCAGGGTGGAAAGGTGGGAGGGGCGGGGGCAGGCGTCAAACTGCAAAAAATGAATCGTAAAAGGAGGGTTGTTGGGGATGAGGGGAAAGACGCCCCTCAAAAAAGCTCCTCTCTCCCCTGCAAGGTGGAGGGCCGGGTCGGTTGGTCGGGAGAGCCAGGAGGAAAAGCGGGAGGTTGGGGGTGGGGTTCTGGCCACTTCTGAATGTTGCATCCCCTCTGGTCACCTGGGATGGGGGGCGAGGCGGAACCACGTGGCTTCACGCCCGGGGCCCCACCCTGCCCTCGCCGGGCCAGCTGCCCGAGGGTCCAGACAGGCCCCCCGAACCCATCTCCCCGACCTTCCCCAGCCGGTCCCAGGGGGCTGGGGCCGTGGGGGTCCCAGTCTGGCCCGAGCCCGGTCCCGCCCAGAGGGGGCGGAGCCAGATCTGCGTCCCTGGCCCGGTCTCCCGTCAGATCTGCGTCTCCTGCACGTTCTCCTTGGAGCCGCTCTTGAAGAGCAGAGGTTCGTGGATGGAGTTGAGGCCCGGCGGGCCCTTGCCCCCGCAGCCCCCGCCGCCGGGGTTGCTGCTGTAGTGCGCCTTGAAGGCGGCCGCCACGTAGTGGTGGTGGTTGAGGTGGTCGCGCTCCAGGGCCGGCAGGGCCAGGTGGCTGTCCCCGCCCACGCCGCCCACGCCGCCCCCGCCGGCCACGGCGGCCGCGGCGGCCACCGACACGGCCGAGGCGGCGGGCAGCTCATCCTCCACGTTGATGATCTCCACGGTGCGGGTGGGCCCGTGGTGTTTGTGGAGCTGGTGCTGCTTGCGCAGCTTGTAGAAGGCCACGAGCATCACGGCCGCCATGAACGTGATGGCCACGAAGCAGCCGATGATGATCTTGGTGGTCTTCATGACGTCGTCCAGGTCCTTGAGGGCGTTCTCCGTCACGTCCGTGATGGGCACCGTGAACGCCTTCTCCGTGGGCCGCGAGGAGCGCGGGGCGGGCGCCGTGGTGGACGAGGAGGCCGGGCCGGCCGCATCCCCAGACCGGCCCCCGCCCCAGACGCCATCCGTCGTGGGCCCCGGTGGCTCCTTCTCCGTCCCCCGCGTCTGCAGGACCTCCTCTCCGGGCTGCGTCTCCAGGGTCTCCACGGTCACCGTGGTGAAGTAGGTGTAGCCGCCACTGCCCCCGCCGCCGCCCCCAGGCCCGCCCCCGCCGCCAGCCGCTCCGCCGGCCGCCACGGGGTCCACGGCCGAGACGTTGAGCGTGGCCGAGGCGGTGGTGTTGCCGGCCGAGTTCGTCACCATGCACGTGTACTGGCCCGTGTCCTGCACCGTGACGTTGGTAAAATTGAGCGTGCCGTCGTGCAGGACGGAGATGCGCACGCGGTAGGAGCCGTGAGTCATGAGGGTGCCGTTGGGCGTCAGCCAGTTGACCGAAGTCATGGAGGTGCCCGTGCGGCACTTGAGCTCCGCGGCCATGCCCTCGGTGACGTTGAGGTCCGTGGGCGGCTCCACGATGACCGGCGCGTAGCAGGTGAAGTGGGACTGGTCCAGCTCGCCGATGTAGCGGCCCTTGAGGCCGGCGGGCGCGTGGCAGCGGGCGCAGCAGGTCGTGTTGCTGGGCACCGTCTCCTTGAGCCACCAGCTGAGCCAGAGTACGTCACAGTTGCAGTGCCAGGGGTTGTGGTTGAGGTGCACACGCTCGAGGCGGTGCAGGGGGGTGAAGAGGTCGTGGGGCAGCGACATCAGGTTGTTGTGGGACAGGTTGAGCTCCTCCAGCGACTTGAGGTCGTCGAAGGCATTGCGCTCGATGGTGGCCACCTGGGCGTGCATGAGCCACAGCTTGCGCAGGCTGGTGAGGCCCTGGAAGGAGCCCGGGCGGATCAGATCCAGCCGGTTCCCCGACAGCTCCAGCTCCTCCAGGCGCACCAGGGCCGTCAGGTTGGGGATGTCCTTGAGGTTGCACATGCCCAGGTTGAGGTAGCGCAGGTTGACCAGGCCCTCGAAGGCCGCCTCCGAGATGTACTCCAGCCGCTTGAGCTCGCCCAGGTCTAGGCGCCGCAGAGAGGGCACGCGGTTGAAGGCGTAGGAGGGGATGCTTTCGATGGGGTTGTTGCGAAGCCAGAGCTCCCGCAGCTTGGACAGGTACTCGAAGGCCTGCGTGGGCACTGTGGTCAGCCGGTTGTCAAACAGCTCCAGTGTGTTCAGGCTGGGCAGCCCATTGAAGGCACCCACCTCGATCTTTCGCACCAAGTTCTTGCTCAGCTGCAGGATCTCCAGGTGGCGGAGGTGCTTGAAGGTGTCCGTCCGGATCACCTGGGATGGGGGAGGGGAGACACCGATCAGTGACGCCCAGTAACAATGGTATTAAGCACCCAGTGGCCAAGTGCCCAGCAGCCCCAGCTCTCCATCTCTGCTGGGGGCAGAGTATGACCATAAGACCATTTTGGCCCTGGCAGGTTTGGCTCAGCGGTTAGAGAGTTCGCATGCGGTCCAGAGAGACCCGGGTTCGGTTCCCACTGAGAGCGGGTACCTCGGTTGCAGTTTGTCCCTGGCCCTGGTTGGTCATGTGGGTGGCAGCCACTCCATGTGTCCCTTTCACGTCGATGTTTCTCTCTCTCTCTCTTCCTCTCTCTCCCTCCCATTGTATCTGAACAAAAAATGGGAAAATGTCCTCCGGTGAGGATAAAAAAAAAAAAAAAATTTTGGAAAACGGTTTATTTATTTTTATTTACTTTATTTATTTATTTTTATTTACTTAATTTGAAAAATTGTTTTTTCTTTATTGATTTTAGAGAAGGAGAGAGAGGAAGGGAGAGGGAGAGAGAGATAGAAACATTGATGAGAGAGAACATTGATTGGCCGCCCCCTGCATGCCCCCCCACTGGGGATTTGGCCCACAACCTGGGCATGTGCCCTGACTGGGAATCGAACTGGAGACCTCTTGGTGCATGGGTCGATGCTCAACCACTGAGCCACACCAGCTGGGCTGTATTTTTATTTTTTAAAGTAGAATTTTAGAGGAAGGGAGAGAGAGGGAAAAAGAACATTGATCTGTTGTTCCGCTTATTGATGCATTCATTGGTTGTTTCTTGTGTGTGCTCTGACCGGGATCGAACCCACATCCTTGGCTGGATGATTGTTTCTTACAAAGTTAAACACAGAGCTACAGAATGGTCCAGCTTTTCCACTCCTGAGACTTCCCCCAAGAGAAAGGGGAGCAGAGGCCCTGCAAACTGCGTGGGTGGGTTCTCACAGCCTCTGTGTTCATTACAGCCTAAACCGGAAGCCGCCCAAATGTCCCTGACGGTGAAGGCCACGTGCTCTGTGTCTGCACAGTGGAACACTGGCTCAGTCTCAGTCATGAAAAGGAGCGAACTATCAGCATGCATGGTGCCTCGGATGACTCGCACAGGTGTTGCATTGAGCACGGGAAGCCAGACGCACAGTCGGGCAGTGGGATCCCATTTGATCCGCTCTCTGGATGTGCTGAAGCAGTGTCTCTGAGCCTGTGTGTGTGTGGGGGGGTGGACAGGCTGGGAAAGGGCCTGAGGGAGCTTCCTGGGGTGCTAGAAATGTTCCAAATTGGGGAAGTGGCTCCATGGGTGAGCGCAACTGTCAAAACTCCCCAAACTGTACCCATAAAACAGGGGCATTTTATACATAAATTATACTCCAATAAAAAAGATTAATCAGCAACTAACATGCGTTGAGCATGCCTTCAGTATCAGACTCTCTTCTAAATGCTTGATGGGCAAAAACTGATTCAAACCCTGGCTGGTCTGGCTCAGCAGTTAGAGAGTTGGCCTGTGGAGTGAAGGGTCTCGGGTTCGATTCCAGTCAAGGGCATGCACCTGGGTTGCAGGTTCATTCCCCAGCCCCGGTCAAGGTTGCGCTGGAGGCAACCAATGGACGTGTCTCTCTCACATCAATGTTTCTCCCTCTCTCTCCCCCCTTCCCTCCTTTTCACTGTCTCTGAAAATCAATAGAAAAGTAGTTTTGGGTGACGATGAACAAAAAAACCAAAACTGATTCAATCTGCTAAACTGCCCTCTGTGATAGGTACTTAGTCAACACATGCAACTCAAACCCATAAGCTCAGAAAACCAGAAGATGTTTCCTAACTTTGGCACCAAATCCATTTGGTGGCAAAACCTGACCAGAACACACGCAGGCTATTTAAGATCCCACTCGTGACCATTCAAACCTTTCACTCCAGAAATATTCCCACGTTTTTGTTGTTGTTGTTGTTAATCCTCACCTAAGGATATTTTTTCATTTATTATTATTTTTACAAACATTTTTTTCCTTTATTCATCTCAGAGAGAAAGGAAGGGATGGGGAGAGAGAGATAGAAACATTGATGAGAGAGAACATCGATTGGCCACCTCCTGCATGCCTCCCACTGGGCCCACAACCTGGGCACGTGCCCTGACTGGGAATTGAACTGGTGACCTCTTGGTGCATGGGTCAGCGTTCAACCACTGAGCCACACTGGCTGGGCTGTCTTTATTTTTAGATAGAGTGGAAGGGAGGGAGGGTGGGAGAGAGAGAAACTTCGATGTGTGTCTCTCATATCGATTGCTTGCCTCCTGCACAGCCCCAACTGTGGCTGTGGATTGAACCCATAACCCTTTGGTTCAGTTGGAGGGCTAATACTCTAACTGCTGAGCCAAACTGGTCAGGGTAAAATATTCCCACATTTGGTAAGGGGTATAATTAGATTTATTGGGGTGCTATAAAAAAGCACATCTGGCCTCAAGGGTTTCATATGATCAATTATGAATTACCTCATTTAATTGGGAGGACACGGAGGCACAGAGAGGTGCAGTGACTTGCCCAAGGTCACACAGGAGGGCGTGGCCGACCTGGGATTGGACTGAGGCTGCCTGGCTCCAGAGTCCTGGCTTTTAACCCCTGAACGCAGCTGCCACCTCTCAGCGTTGAGGCTGGGGTAGGCCTGGGAGGCAGTGTCACCAGATTCTCCTCACTGCTCCGCACGCTGGGTACACTGAGGCTCAGAAGCCCATGCAGCCACTAGACTGCATCTCTGAAGCCCAGCCAGTGCCTCGAGGGACGAGGGACGCCGCAATCTGTTAAGGGGGACATGGAGAGTGCCCAGGGGCAGACTGTGTGGGTGCGACTTCATAAAACTTAAAAAGGAGGCTGAAGAAGTCGGTGTCCACACAGGCGCCCCAGGAAAAGACTGCAAGGAGGTAGCCTGAGCTCTTCTTGGAGTGAAATCCAGCTGGTGGGAATCGGGCAGTTTTCATTCTTTATTTTTTTCTTCAACGAACAAGAGTTACTTTTATAATTAGTAGAAAAATACTTTTTTTTTATCCTCACCCGAGGACATTTTTTTTCCCATTTTTTGTTCAGATAGAGTGGAAGAGAGAGAGAGAGAGAAACATCCATGTGAAAGGGACACATCGAGTGGCTGCCACCTGCACGACCCAACCAGGGCCGGGGACAGACTGCAACCGAGGTACGCGCCCTTAGTGGGAACCGAACCCGGGTCTCTCTGGACCACAAGCCGACGCTCTAACTGCTGAGCCAAACTGGCCAGGATGAAAAACACTTTCTTAAAAGTTTAAAAAACAAGACTGCCCCTGAGAGGCACCCAGCACGAGGGACGATAGTATTCCTGGTATAATGATCACACTCATAAAACAGGAACAGGAATGATTTACGCCAGTGCAATCCAACAGAAATATAGCGCGAACGACTTAACTTAAAATTTCCTAAAAGCCACAGTGAAAGAAAACCCAAGCCCTGGCCAGGCGGCTAAGTTGGTTGGAGTGACTTCTCTTACACTGAAAGGCTTCGAGTTTGATCTCTAGTCAGGGCGTGGACGGGAGGCAGCTGATCAATGTTTCTCACACCAAGGTCTCCCGAGGCCTGTTTGTATGTCTCTCTCTCTCCTTTCCTCTCTCAAATCAATAAACATATTCTTGGGTGAGGATTAAAAAAAAAAGAAAGAAAACTCCAAACAGGTGAAATCAATTTTAACCATGTATTTAGCCCACTAGATCCCAACGATTATGATTTCAACATGTGATCGAGGTGAAAACTGATGAAGGAGATGGATGTTCAACACTCTTCTCACACTCAGACTTCCAAGTCCCACGTGTCTTCTGGTCTACGCGATTGGGTGTGCGAGGCTGTGCAACTACCAGGGGCTTCCTGGGCTCTGCGATGCCCCACAGCCTGGCATCTACCTGCCTCTCCCTTCCTCTCCATATGACGTCCTCACTTGCAGCCTCACCCCAGCTACCTGTCAGCCAATCTTAATTCCTGGAACTCTCGCTCCAGGTCCTCCACTTTCACATGTGCTGTTCCCTTTGATCAGAATGCCCTTCCTTTAACATCCACCTGGACAACTTCTGCAGACCCCCTTGGGCCCCCCTCTTCATCCACTGCATATTTATGTATAGATAAAGCAATTCTGAGGGAGCAACCGGGAGGCCTTATCTGTGGAAGGGCATCACAGTTCAGAGAGGTCAATTCATTGCCCTCAGTTTCACAGCTCTGGAGCAACAGTACCTGAACTTAAAGTCTGATTCTCCTGAGTCTGTTTTGTGTTATTTTACTATTATTTTTTTTCAAATCCTGACCTGAGGAAATACTTATTGATTTTTAGAGAGAGAGGAAGAGGGAGAAAGAGAGAAAGAAACATCCATGTAAGAGAGAAACATCGATCATTTGTCTCCCGTATACGCCCTGACCGGGGATCAAACCCACAGCCTAGGTATGTGCCTGACTGGGAATAAACCTGCAACCTTTTGGTGTACGGGATGATGCTCCAAACAATTGAGCCACCCAGCCAAGGCTCTCCTGAATCTAAACGCGAGGTCCCCACCCTGCCTGCCCACTGTGAACGGAGAGCACTGGGCTCTGCGGGTCCCAGTGTGTTTTCCGAGCCGCATGGCCACTTGTAGCTTGAATGTTACCCTATGTCAGTTTGCTCATTTGACAGATCGTCTTTGGGCGCCTGCTGTGTGTCAAGCACCACGCTGGCCACTGGGGACCGAGCTGTGGACAAGACAGCTACACCCTCTTCCCGGAGCCTGACCTCAAGTGGGGAAGAGAGACACAACATCATAATTACACACACGGTCGTATAAGTGCAATGGTGTAACGTGTCTGCCCCGTGGCAGGGGCGGGGTGTGCCTGCGACCCCACCACAGCACAGAGCAGGGGATCAAATGCTCTCCGAAGCCAGGGGCCGGTCACCCTTGTGGCCATTGACACAGAGGGGGATGGACAAGGCGGGGACTGGTTCTTGGAGCAGGCAGCGTGGTATCTTTGGCCTGAGGTGGTTGACATCCTGCCCTGTGGCAGAGGAGCGAGGCCTGGGGTCCTGCCTGGGACAGCGGCCTGGCCTGACGCTGGAGTCCCCAGGTCCCCTCACCCCTTCTCTCACGTTACTGAGCCCATTCCCACGTGTGCCGGCGCTGGGCCAAGTGTCAAGGACACAGATACCAGCCTGGGAAGGGACTGTGGCCCCATCGGCGACCACCTCCCCACCCCTAATGGAGGCTTCTCCCCCCTTTCATCCTGCAGCTCCGGTTGTGGTGAGGAGATGTCACTGACGTTGAGAAAACCCCACTGTGTTCTGTTGGGGTTTTTAAGGGAATAAACTGTCAAGAAATCCTTGATTAAAAATTTAACTGTGGTGGGAAAATGATTAAGTGCATTGTTCTTCTTCACACGACTAAGATAAATTGGTTTTCCATATTTTGAATGCAATGAACCGACAGCAGAATTTCAGTAAGCTTACATTTGGAGTTGTATTTTTTTGCGTTCAGTTTTGTACATTCACAATGTTAAGAAACAGTGTTATTTTTCCAACTGCTTTTATGATGACTGCTCATATTTCCTCCTCCCCCGGGATAAAGGACATGTGCCAACCCCCCTCCAATGGGCACATCCCTGACCACAACGACCTGGCAGGAGCCTGGCCGTACCTTGCTCATTGAGCCACTCAGGCCTAGACTTGGCCTCCCTCCTGGGGCCTCGGCCACCTCTGTAGTGTGGGGACAGGGGTCCTACATGAGAGGAAGCACAGACCCAGGCAACACCCAGCCCAGCGCCCCTCAGAACGCAGTGTCTCCTCCTTTAGTGAAGTCCGTTGGTAGGTGTCTTCACCCTGCACCTCTCTCCCGACAGCAAACCCTAAACTTGTCGGTGCTAGGTGGTTTCAGGCCAGGCCAGCACCGACCACCAGCTACGTGTTCCCTCCCACTGCCCCTCCCAGGAAGGCGTCCCTGCCCTGGCCCCTCCTGCCTGTTTGGCTCAGCTCTCACCTCCAGCTCGGTGCACTGCTCTCCAGGTGACCCTGGAACAACAGGGTGTGAGCTGTGCGGGTCCACTGGAATGCCTTTTCCCCGTTAGCACCTGTACTGGTTTCCGTCTGTGGTTGGGAGTCCACAGGTGCAGAG